ATATATATATATATATATATATATATATATATATATATATAAGTATGAGTAATGTTATACTGACAAAAAATAGAGACCAAAATTAGAGCCCAAATGGGCTCAAATTTTGGTCCATATTTTTGGTAAGTGTAACATTACTCATTATGTATACATTAATTTTATATAAAAATATCATGATAAAATACGTATTTATATATATATATTTTTTAAAAATTTAAAAATAAGTTTAAAAATAAAAATTTTAAATTAATTTTTTTTTCATCTTATAAAATGGTGAAAATTTTTAACTCAACACGATGACATGACTCGAACTCAACATAAATTTTATGACACAAACTTGATTATAACTTGATACGAACTTGAAAATAACTTGACACGTGAATAAGAAATATAAATGGTTAATATTCAATTTAACCCGTCAAACTCAAAATTGACACAATCAACCAGTTTATTAAAAAAAAAAAATTCTTTCTCTATTTTCTCGTTTGTATGGTAATATAAAATTAACACAAAACTAACATGTTTAAACATGGATTCAATTAAGTGAAAAATATAATATTAGCGTTAAATTTTTTATTCAAACTTTATGTAGATCAACACGAATACGAACACGAAAATAAACAGATCAATTCAACACGACACAATTAATTAAATGAATTAAGTTAGGTTTGACTAATTTTCGACACAAACCCGCAATGACTCAACACGAACTTGACGCGACATGATTAGATTGACACCCCTAATTTTAGCCAGTACAAAAAAAAAATTAATTATTTTTATTTTTTATCCATCCTACCAAATACAAAGAAAAGAAAACATATCATTCTTACTTTCCTTCTTTAAAAGATAGAAAGTGTATCTCTCATACTTTCTAATTTTTTTTTGAGCCCAACGATCATTTTATTTATTGATCACGAAAGTAGAGGAGATGAGATAAACCTTGCCTTTTTACATAACCGAATAATTCAATTAATAAAGGAGTCCAACCAAAGAAGAAGTCTATCTAAAGGAGGAACATCAATTTCCAAAAAACCCCAGCTGCACAGTCATGTGAACAGTGACATGAACAATGAGAGTTTTAAGCTGCTGAAATTGAAACTCCTTAGTTGCACAGTAAGGTGAACAATGGCATCTGGACAGCAGCAGTCCATGGTATAAGTCCAGCTGGGCAGTTCTTGAATGGGTTTAAATAGCTTGCTGCCATGTAATCCACTAAATTCATGTTGTAGAAGAAATCTAATAATGTCTAAATCCATAGGTTTTTTTTTGGCTTTGTCAACTTAAAAGTTCTTGATCTTGATCTTGTCATAATTACTGGTTGAACTTTATCAAATGTCACAGCCAAAGTAGCCAATTACTCAACTTTTCTTTTCTTATTTAGCTCTACCTTATTGAATATTGAAAGTAGCCCTTTAGACGATGCCATAAAAGAATTGAAATTATCTTCTCGAACTAATGCAGCCTCCTCCCCATCAGAGTAAAAACCCCTTGATTGCTCATGAAGGAAAGACCTCTTAACGTAGTCATCCTTTGAATAACCCCTCTTAGCTTCCAAGCCTTTTGAATTTCCTCCCTTGACATGCTTGGAATTTCCCCCCCTTGACTATGAATATTTTTACGAGTTGCTGCCAACATTTCTTGAGTAATGGACTTTGGCCTAGGACTATACCTTAATCCACTGGACTTCTCCCCAACATCCGATGAGGACTCGTCTATCCCATCATCCGAGACATCTTTAGAAGAAAGTAGAAAATCCATTCTCATCATTTAAAGTAACAATGAGTTTTATTGTCTTGGAAAAATCGTATTGCATGTCTTGTGCTTCAGTAATAAGGTTTGAATTTGAAAAATTTGGAGTTTCATTGGGATACTTTTTTGCATCATCTTGTGTACCATCCATCAAACATTCATGTTGGACATCATCTATCAAACACTCATTTTGGGCTCCATCAACCAAACATTCTTGTTGAACAATATTTTCCTTCCACGAAAAATTTCCTCTTTCCAAAACTATGGGTTGGTTTTCCTTATTTGGAATTTCGAAAAGAGTAGACTTTCCAAACGAGACGTCATTATTTGCCATATGATCCTCCTCCAGAATCCCCGAATTAATGGACTTGTTTCCTCCATTTAGCTGCTTCCAAATACTTTTCCCTTTATTTACCTAATTGGCTGGAACATGCTGTTTTGAGGATTCCGAATTCCTCTGAACCACTTTCTGATTTGCTTTAGCATGCTGCCCAAGATCTTTCTCTTGCGTATCTTGAGATATCCTCCCCAGCCTCTGATTTGTCATTTCCTTATTCTTGACCCCAATTTTGGATGCCAAAGATCTTGTATCCTTTCCTTCTAAATCAGTTTCCAAATATGTGATCTTCTTCTTCTTGCATTCTACATCACCATGGCCTTGTTTTTTTACAATTTTTGTAGAATTTTTTGTTACATTCATACACTATTTTCTGCCATCTAGCGCCCTCATCTCTCATATCAATCCATATTCTTGAAGGATTCTGAGCAAGTAAGTTAACTTCCACACAGACCCTAGCCACACTTGGCTTGGCTAAGGAGAGAGTAGCCTGATCATATGCAAGAACCCTGCCTATTGGCTTTACTAGGAGCTCCAGGTATGGTTTCTTAAAAAAATTCAAAGGAAGGCCTGACAGTGAGACCCACATTGGAATGATTGAGGGCTCTATTCTTGGAACAAATGCGCAGAACCACTTCAAAAATCTAAATAGATAATCTTCAATCAAGGTGACATCCTTCAACCAAGTTTTGACATAATCTTCATGTTGCTGGAATCGTATCAATGTATGCCTCAGATCAATAGCACCAACTTCAAACTCTCCCTTGAGACTCCATTTTGATCTGATCACTTCCTTGATAACTCCTAGTGAAGGTCTTCCATAAACGCATTTACCAATGAGAGAATATTGTAAGGAAAGGCAAGAAGCTTGAACTTCTTCATTGGTGAAGTAGAACGCAAACTCTCCTTCATAAAAAACAATCGGCTTCTCAATCTTGGCAATAGATTGTGGTTCAATTATAGGATCCAATGAAGGTTTAAACAATGAAGCATAAGTTGGTAAGGTATCTTTTGGACTGTTTGGATTCAAATCTGGTGGTTTGGGTGGTATTTGGGAATTGTTTGGTGAAGAATTCATGAAGAGGAAATTTTCGCACACATATAGGATGGAGACACTTTCACTAAAACTTGTTATAGTGCCCACCCAAAACAATATTCCTAACTCTGTCCTTGCATATATACATCATCTCTTACTTTCCATTATTCCTACTTTTCATCCTTCCTACCAAACAGAGCATAAAAGAAAAGGGGATGAAAAATTAATTATTTGTATTCAAATGTATCTTATTTGTCTATATATCTTTTGATATATACATATATTATATTTATCAATTATATATTATGTATATATTAATTTCATATATAAATGCAATCGTAAATATTATTTATATATTTTTTAAAAAAATTAAAAAATAAAATTAAAGTTAAAAATAAAAAATAAAAAATATTTTTTGAATCTTACTAAACACAAAAAAAAAAAATTAATCATTTTTATTTTTCATCCATCCAACCAAATGCAAAAGAAAAAAAGTATATCATTTTTATTTTCTTTCTTTATAAGAAAAAAATTTATATCTCTCTTATTTTCTTTCTGTTTTACTTTTCTTCATTCTTACGGAAGGTAAATATATTCATAAGAAAAAAAAAACAGAGGTGATGCTCACATGACAATGCATCCACCCAATACAAAAATAGAACCAAAAGATTTACAACAACCAAGAGTATAGAATTCTAAAGAAAGTGCCAGTCTTGAGCTGGTACTTCCAGCAGAATCCAGACTCAAAGGAGACAAAGAAAACAAAGAGGCTTCCATCAGATAATATGGAAAGCCCAATGCCAACATACATGCCAACAACCAAGTGGGAGAACAAATGGATGAAGGAGCCAGAAGAACCTTTCATGCTTTTAGGGTGAACTCCTCATAACAGAGCAAACATGCAGCAATCAAGGCAGCATTCAAGAGCAGTGAAACAAGAAAGTCGTGAACAGTGCCTAGCGACTGTGGCAGACTGTAATGGAGACTAGGCAGCAGACACCATAATAAAAGGCAGCTGAGGGGAACCAACTGAAACAACAGATAAAAGTCATTAACATTCTGCTGAAGAAAGAAGAAAACAGAGGAGAAAGGCCAGCAGCTGCATTAAACAAGCTATGCACTTGAACAGTGCACGTGAACAGTGCATTCCTGTCAACAAAAAACTTCAAGGCGCAGAAGACCCCCAGCAACATGATCCATCCCAAAGCAAATGTCCCCAGAACTAGCACAACAAACAATGATTAACCATGATCATCATGTATAAGGGTACCCTAGTGCGCAGAACAGGCAACATCTCCTGCCTCATCCATAAACGCAAGACATTCCTAGCACATATCATTTGAACCTAAGCCACAGCAAGAAGCTGCCAAGCTTGAAGGAGAGACAAGTTTTTAGGGGAACTCTTGAATTTGATTGTGACTAATCTATTTTTGATGATTTGCAAGACACACTTCACAAGACTTCTACAATCCCTAAACTGGTTTGTATGGAGTCTTCTATTCCTTTCCTTCCATATTATATACACAGTAGTTGCCAAGCACAACTTTTTTAACACCTTACCAAGTGACTTACCTTTCCAACTTTGACTTGCATAATCGATGAAATTCTGCCAAGAGCTCGGTAGACCTTGTTCACCACACAGTTGCATAATAAAAATTCAAATATCTTGTGAGAACTGGAAACTAAAAAAGAGGTGAGAATGAGATTCCATGTAATGCCTACATAGGATACATGTCACATCAACATCCGGCGCAAATTTTTGTATTCTATCTTTAGTGCTAAGCCTTTCCTTTATTGCTAGCCAAAGAATGAAGCTTATCCTGGGTACGCATTGTCCATACCACAGCAGATGGTGCCAAGGTACCTCTTGCCCAGGGGCCCTAAGGTGATTCCAAGCTGAATAAGAAGAAAATTGCCTATTTGTTGCTATAGTCCACTTTACCCGGTCTTCCTTATTTGTCAGAGGAATATATGTAGGCATATGATTTGAAATCTCCAAGAGATCAGGTGTACCTGTGGAAGGCCATGACCATCTATTGTTGCCCACGATTGCAGCCACGTTAGCATCCTTAGGTAACCCTGCATGATCAATAACATTATCACTCCATCTAAGTAGAAGAGGACCATGAGGGTGTCAATTATCCAACCAAAGGCTAGTACTCTCTCCATTACCAATAACATGTTGAATTAGAGGTCTAACTATTGGTCTCAGTTTCAAGAGGTTCAACCAATTCCAAGAGCAAGAATGAGGTGGCTTAACTTCCCAGATGCTTTTCCCTCTTAAATGATAAGAATGAATCCATTTCACCCAGAGACTTTCTTTGTTTGTAAATAAAATCCACAAATACCTCATCATCATTGCCATATTCATCTCCTTAAGTCTTCTAACCCCCAATCCCCCTTCTTTCTTAGGTTTGCAAATGTCCACCCAGGCCACTTTGGCACCAGTAGGCTTGAGATCAGTTCCATTCCAGAGGAATGATCTAAGCATTCTTTCTAATTTATCGAGAACCTGTTTGGGAATAAAAATGTGGGCTGACCAGAAATTTTGGGTGCTATTGAGCACAGAGGTAATCAATTGAAGCCTTCCAGCAAAGGATAGAAACCTGTTGGTCCAATTTTTCACCCTAGCCTCCATTTTTTCCATCAGAGCATCACAATATTGTCTCTTGAATCTAGTGGACACCAAGGGGATCCCCAAATATCTCACAGGAAGAGCACCAATTTGGAATCCCAGAATATTAGTAATCTGACCTTTTGCCTCATCAAACATCCCAGCCATGAATACATTGCTTTTCAAGGGATTAGCTCTAAGCCCAGAGAGGACTTGAAACTGGTCAATCACAACTTTCAAAATTCTTATAGATTGAGCATCTCCATGACTCAAAAATAAGACATCATCAGCAAAAAGTAGGTGAGTAAGAGTCATCTTCCTACATCTCCAATGAAACCTGAATGAGGGATTAGAGGTAATTTGCTGCAATATGACAGAACTAAAAACTTCCATAGCCAGAACAAAAAGGTACGGGGAAAGGGGATCACCCTGCCTAAGTCCCCTAGAGCTTGAAAAAAATCCTGTCATCTCCCCATTTATATTAACAGAGAATCGAGGAGAAGTAATACATTCCCTTATCCAATTTCTCACCGTATTTGGAAAATGTAAAGCTTCAAGGACATCCAAAAGGAAATGCCAATCCAATGTGCCATAAGCTTTCATAATATCCAATTTAATAGCACATCTGGGAGGACCACAATTTCTTTGATAGTCTCTAAGGAGTTCATGAGTAAGCATAATATTCTCCCTAATTTTCCTTCCTTGAACAAAAACAGTTTGATTAGAGCTTACAATACCTTGGAGCACAGCCCTCACTCTATTTGCCAGAATCTTAGAGATGACCTTATACAACAAGTTACAACATGAGATGGGTCTGAAGTCCTCCATTGAGTTTGGATTTGGACTTTTAGGGGCAGGGGCAATCACAGTGGCGTTGAGCTCTTTAAGTAATTTCTCAGATCTAACAAATTATTTTACTGCAGCTATGAAATCCCTATCAATCACTGACCATGCCTTTTTGAAGAAGTATGCAGTAAATCTATCAGGACTAAGAGCCTTCATATTATTAAAGGAGAACAACACCTCTTTGATTTCCTCATCTTCAATATCTCTGATCATATGATTTGCTTGCTGCTCAGTGACCTTCTTAAGTGGTAGAGATCTTAATAATGCTCTTCTCTCTAGGGGAGGAGTAAGGTTGCTGGTAGTACCTAAAAGTCTCTGAAAATAGTCAATAGCTTCACCCTTAACTGTTTCCTCTCCATCAACCATTCTACCATCAGCAGATTCAAGTTTTAAAATCTTCTTCTTGTTCCTTTTGCAGTTCATAGATTTAAAGGAAAAGGCGGTATTTTTATCTCCCTCACTCAACCATAATATTCTGGATTTCTGTTTATATAGGATTTCCTCGTTCCTTGCAGCCTCTGTGTAATCATTGAGTAAAAGTTTCTCCACCTGTCTAAGTGCTGAGTCTGAAGGGTTAAGGTCAAGTCTCATTTGACAATTATCTAGCAAAGCTTTCTTTTCTCTGACAACGGTAGTAAGCTCACCAATTTCCCTGCTCTTTTCTTTAAACACTGTTTTTAGTTTCTTAAGTTTAAAGCAAAGTTTGAATTAGTTAGGTCCTTGAATAGGTTCCTGCCATATCTGGGTAACAATGTGCAGAAAATCTTCTCTGTCAGCCCAAAAATTAAAGAACTTAAAAGGGAACTTCTTCCTATTCGCCTCTTCTCGAATCTTCACCACTGCAGGACTATGATCAGATACTCTCGGGGTAAGAATTCAGCTACAGCTCTATCAAATTTCTGGATCCAAGCCTCATTTATAGGGGCTCTATCAAGTTTCCTAGAAACACAAGCACCTTCTTCTCTTCTACTGCTCCAAGTGAAGAAAAGCCCTGAGTACCTCAAATCAACAAGTTCAGCTTCTTGAACACAATCATCAAAATCCCCCATAGCTTGCACCCATCTGTTCAGTCCGCCATGGTTCTCATTGCAGCTTCTTATAGCGTTAAAATCCCCAATAACTAACCAAGGGTAGGATTTAAAGAGACCGACATGGTAAACAAGATTTCTCCACAAGTCCTTCCTCTTATTTTCCTCATTTGAGCCATATACAAAGGAAACACAAAATTTAGTTGCAGTGTCCAAATGTACCACCTCATAGTGCACCACTTGATCAGTTTTCGAGAGCTTAGTTACCATGACAGAGTTAGGATTCCACCCAATCCAAATCCTACCAAAAGTATGACTGTTGTAGTATGCCAAAAACTCCCATATTCTAACAATGTTATTTCTGACAGCTGAAATATTTACACTTCTCACCTTGGTTTCAACAATTCCCACTAAATCAAGGTGGCTTTCAAAAACTAATTTTTTTACTGCTTCCTGCTTAGAGGATTTGTTAAGTCCTCTTATATTCCAGCAGGCTAACTTAATCATAGGAGAGGAGAAAGCCTGAGTTTGAAGGGCTCAGTCCCTTTATCTTTCCTTTTTCCAGAGGACTTTTTCTTAGCTTTTTTCTTCTTATTCTCCCCAGGTTGCTTACTTGCCTCCCCATGGTTATGATCACAACTAGTTGCAGCATAGTCTAAATCCACCACCAAATTACCTCCCTCAATTTCCAACCTCTCAAATCTGTTTGAAGATGTAGTAGGTATAGACAGCTGAACTGGGACCTGCACTTCCACAGGTGAGATGGATGTCACCTGAGTTTCATCCTGTAGTCTATGAATGGGCTGTCTGAGTATAGCAGCACCAATTTCACTGTTGCTGCTACATCCAGGATCTAATGGGGGTTTCTCTTTTGACATGACCATCTTCGTTGTTGGTTCCATCTCATTGGATATGATTTCCTTGCCATTGCCAGCAACAAGAGGATGAGATTCCTTTTGGGAATGTTTGGGTTTCCAAATGGTTTTTGTCACCATCTTAGGACACGTGGACTCATTATCGCCGACTATATGGCAACTTTGGCACACTTTGGGCTTCCACTGATATTCAACTTGTATTTCCACCTTCTCATATTTCCCCTCAACATTTTCTGGCTTGAATTTCCACACACACTCTGGCAAAACTCAGTCTTTTCCTAGATGCAGTTAGTGTGTCTGCATACAGTGGCTTGCCTATAGCACTAGAAATATAGCTTAGCCCCTCTTCATTCCAGAATTGGAGTGGAACATTGAATAGCTTAATCCACACCGGGATAACAGAGTGATCTTCTTTGGCAAGGATTATTTCTGGCTGCCATCTCTTGAGGATTAGAGGCCTCCCTGCAAACAACCAAGGTCCCCCTTCAAAAATAGCAGTCCTAGTCTCTTCACTCATGAACTTGAAAAAATAAAATCCTTTATCATTTGCTAGAACCTCTAACAATCCCATTTTGCCCCATACTTTATGGGCAAGGAAATTTATAGAGGAGTATGAGAGTTTCTTCTCAATAAAATACCCAACTAGGCAATTTTGCCACTCAAGGCTTCCTCTCATACCTACCTCTTTCAGAGGTGATACCACAAGCCTCTCATTCTCTTTTAGTGGTTCATAGTATTTGAGTTTCATACCTGCAATTTGGGTTCCGTTGAAGGTCTTTGAAGCTTCTCCATCCAAACCAGATTTAAGAACCTGACTCCAAGATGGTATTGGGGAGTTGGGCTTCTGCGCCTGGCAGTCAATACCTTGTTGCAGTGAGGTATGTTCTGGCTGTGTCTCAGCCCTTGAGATTAATTCACTATGCTGACTTTTTGACAGCTCTGATGCATTTGGGGTAACAACTTGTTGGGGAACAAAGACTTGAGTTGTATCTACATAGCCGTGAGCTTTACTCGCCACACTATCTGGCTTACTGGAAGATTCATTTGGGACCACTTCTGCAGCAATGGCTTGGCTTCGTACCACTTCATGCTCAGTCATGAGCTGTGTATTCATTGCTTTCTCATACGCAACAGTGCTGAGCTCATGAGAACTCATAGGAGATCTGGATTATGGATTAGATTAAGTATATATGGCTGGTGGATTAAAGATTTTACAATGGATTCAGAGGTGGGTGCGAAGGATTTAATGTAGGAAGGTTTAAGGAGGAGAGAGAGAGATTGGTATGGAAGAGGGTTTTAGAAACAAGTGGTCAGGAAACGAATTGATGAAAGATGAGGTTAATAGATGGGCCAAGAACTGTAGATCAGGCAAATAATGGATGAATTAAGCAAAAATAGGGACGAACAAGAGAATGGTGGGTTCAAGGAGGAAGAGAAAGCAGAACAGAACATTACAAAATTTTAACCATTTTTTCCCTATCTTTTTCCCTTCTTTTTTCCTCGCTTCTTGCTCAGTCTGCTGTCGCTGCTCAATGGCTATTTATAGGCAATTTTGTTCCTTACGTCACTTGGGGATAGCATGGTGCTTACGTCAACATAGACAAATGTCCATACTGTGTGTCTAATGTGTATCTTTTTTTTTTTTTCCCTTACATCCCAAGGTCGCGTGCGCACACACACATATACATTAAATATGACACACATTTCTACACAATCTGCATAATTCAAACACTTTAAATATTTATATTTTTCTTTCGACCTTAAGTATACTTAATATTATAATCATTAAACTTGCCTTCCACTTTAAAAAATTATATTTGAGGTTCATTTATTTATTTAAAATTTTTAAAAATAAACATTGAGAATATAGGATCATAATTAGTGCTATAATTGATGTATTAGCGATAAATTTGTATGCCAGTTATCACATAGATGATAGTAATATCAAAATTAAATAAACTTTAAGACAACTTTTAATTACACAATATTACATTCAAAGTCAGAAGCAAAACCATAATCAAAAGCAAGCACACTAACAACAACACAAGCTTTCTTCCCTATTCTGCAAATGCAGCTGGAGATTGCCAAAGCAATTATAACAATTGCAATGGCAAAGCTTCATCTATAACCCCAAACCCCAACAAAAGGAAAAAAAAAAACCTATGAACTTCTTCATAAGAAATTCCATTGTTATGTTCTTTACATGGCCCCCACAGCAGCTTTGAACCTTGGTTCTTTTGCTAGGAACTTCTGCTCTGCATAAACAGACATGTAGTCCCCAAACACAAACTTGGGATAAGTCTGATCCACCTCTTGGTTCACTTTCTCCATCAATTCTGGTGCAGGAGCTATGGTGGCCTTCATTGATGGATTATAGAACGAAGCAATCGATCTCCTATTACCATCTAGCGTGGCCAAAACCCTGTGCCAAATGCTCTTGTATCGCCCGTTGCTCAACACCTCAATCTGATCCCCGATGTTGATGACAATGGCGTTGCTTAGCGGTTGGACATCGATCCATTGCCCATCTTTGAGGATTTGAAGGCCACTCACCTCGTCATCTTGGAAGAGTAAGATGACACCTCCGGCATCAGTGTGAGCTCGAAGACCATTTAGCCTCTCGGGATGTGGGCAGGGCGGGTAGTGGCTCACCTTAGTGCCAAAAAAGGCATCAGCTTCTTCACCATTGAAAGCTTTCTTGATGTATCCTATTGGCAAGCCCAAGTTTTCATCCATGGCTTCCATGACTTTCTCACCCAGCTTATTCAACTCAGCTCGGTATTCTGCCATAGTTTCCCTATTATTCAATCAATTCACGAGTCAGATGATACATTAATCTAGGTTTTAATGCTATATTTTTCTTGAGCATTGTCTCAAGTTATAAAGTAGTTGAAGGTAGTGGCTGTTGCTTAACATATATCTTACATTTCTACAAGTTGTTCAGATAATACAATTGAGCACAAATTGACCTCAAATGGTTGGATTCGAACATTTTTAATGTTGAAATTGTTGATTATCTAGTAAAATTAAGTCAAACTTTAGTTGTTCTTGATCAATTTTTTGAGGGAATTAACCTAAAATTTTTATTATTAGATAATTTGTTTTGAAACATTTTACGTGTATTTTGAGAAGGTTTGAATTAATTTTGTCGATTTTAGTGAAAGCAAATAAAATATAATATATTGTGTAAAATTTGATCTTAGTAGTTCTACATGATTAAAGCTTTAACATTAACATATTAAATACTCCCATTAGAAATTTTAACTATGCCACAATTTGGCTAAGAGAAAAAATCATATACGTTTGTTCCTTTAGAAACCTTGCAAGGACAAAAATCTCATGAACTAAGTTGCCTTTTAGAATCATACGAATGGAATACTATGTTCGCAAAATAATGGAAAGAGAATTTGTTTGAGAAACATGACCTGCCATGGGGCTTGGTGACATAATATGCTTTTCTTTAACAATATTAGAGGGATTTTTGCAAAGTACTATCAATGACATAAAAAGGTTTCTTATACTTGAATCCTGAAGACTTTTTCTTTATTTTCTCTGCACCAAGCAAGAGTCTGGAAAAAACAAAACTACAATAGAAATCTTTGACAAGCATAATCAAGAATCATTTTTATTTCGACACAAGTAAAGGCATTGTTCACAGCCCTTTCTTGTGTCGAAGATTAGGAAGATGAATAATTGTTTCTAGAAGTATTTGTTTCCCGCATTTATACATTCTGTTTCCCGCTCATTTATATTGACTAGTCTACGAGGATTCAATAGAAACTGGGATAGCATTAACTTTAATGGTGAAGTTTTCTTTTCTGCACTGATGGAAGTGATTAAAACTAGTACTGAACATACATACTTGAATTCTGGGGTCTTTGATGGCCACTCGTTATCACCGGAGAGAAGGAACACGTCTTCCCAGTCCAAATTCTCCAATTTGTCTTCGCTCTTCTTTTCCACCAGTTCATTCAGCAACTTCACTTGCGTCGAGTTCTTGAAACCTTCTTCTCTCTCCAGCTTATAGCAGTCGGAGCAAACCTTCTTCACCCTCTGGAGGAGTTCCTCTGAAATCCCATGGTTCACTAGCTGTAACAATCAAGTAAAGGAAACCTGTAAAAGTTCTATCAAGACGATTTTCAGTGTTTCATAAAAAAATTGGTTACACTAATGACCCTATAAGGTTTTCGTTCCTGTCACTTAGGTCCCCCAAAGTTTCAATTGTCTCAATTGGATCTTCAAAGTTCAGGGATTGAACCGATGAGGTCCCTAACACTAAGCTATTGCGGATGGAAAATAACAGGTGTCGGGCACCTGAAGTTGTTAATTGGCATTTCTCCTGGTGTTCAAGACTCTTTGCATACAGGGACTCTCACACCTTTTTGCTCACCACACGATGGTGCAGAGAGAGACTTATGTATAAAAAAAAGAAGAGAGAGACTTGTGTTGTATGAGTGTTTTAATACATATACACGATAATTATACATGTAATGTTACATACTTATTAATAATGTATTTATGGCATCTGTGGCATGAGCAAAGAAAAAATGTCCCCCCGCAGTTGAGAAAATGAAGAGACCTAAATGAAATTACTGGCAAACCTTAGGGATTATTTGTGTGATTAACCCTAACATAAAAAGAAGCCATGCAATCTTTGACATTCTTTTGCATGCTAAAAAAGATCAGTACCTGAAAGAATCCCCATTCTTCACACCCATTAGCTATCTGAGCTAGAGTCTTTGCCCTCTCCTCTCCATTGAGCTTCGAGAAATCAATCACTGGGATCGCCATTGACGCAAAGAAATATGAGAGAGATAGAGAGAGTATTGTTCTCTGCTTAGTAATGCTGCACTGTTGGTTGTGAAGAGGTTGCCTAATAACTCTATTTATAGCCGGTTCTTTCAGCCATTTTTGGATGTCAACTCTCCATACATAGTTTAATCAAATGTTTGCTGTTTTAATTCTAAATGCAAAGCAGCAGTTAGGGCGAGGTACAGGACGGTGACATAATTAAAATTAATTAATAGAAAGTCAAAGTTCTTTAAGATATTGCTTACCCACAACAGAAGGCTACTACTTCAGGTGTTAGCACAGAAATTATATTCTGATAGGTTCCGTGAATCGACAATATGTTATCCATCATATTTAGTTCGAGTCTTCGCATCACAATGAGAGAGGTAAAACGATCATTTAGCAAGACTCAAGGATCAGGAACTAATTCAAAAAAATTTAGTTAAAGATTCTTGAGTGACATTGAAATCGATTCTAATATTAGGGTTTTATTTTGCTCGAGTCATCTCATCACAATCAATGGTAAAATAACATTTGACTAGACTTGNTTTTTCCCTTACATCCCAAGGTCGCGTGCGCACACACACATATACATTAAATATGACACACATTTCTACACAATCTGCATAATTCAAACACTTTAAATATTTATATTTTTCTTTCGACCTTAAGTATACTTAATATTATAATCATTAAACTTGCCTTCCACTTTAAAAAATTATATTTGAGGTTCATTTATTTATTTAAAATTTTTAAAAATAAACATTGAGAATATAGGATCATAATTAGTGCTATAATTGATGTATTAGCGATAAATTTGTATGCCAGTTATCACATAGATGATAGTAATATCAAAATTAAATAAACTTTAAGACAACTTTTAATTACACAATATTACATTCAAAGTCAGAAGCAAAACCATAATCAAAAGCAAGCACACTAACAACAACACAAGCTTTCTTCCCTATTCTGCAAATGCAGCTGGAGATTGCCAAAGCAATTATAACAATTGCAATGGCAAAGCTTCATCTATAACCCCAAACCCCAACAAAAGGAAAAAAAAAAACCTATGAACTTCTTCATAAGAAATTCCATTGTTATGTTCTTTACATGGCCCCCACAGCAGCTTTGAACCTTGGTTCTTTTGCTAGGAACTTCTGCTCTGCATAAACAGACATGTAGTCCCCAAACACAAACTTGGGATAAGTCTGATCCACCTCTTGGTTCACTTTCTCCATCAATTCTGGTGCAGGAGCTATGGTGGCCTTCATTGATGGATTATAGAACGAAGCAATCGATCTCCTATTACCATCTAGCGTGGCCAAAACCCTGTGCCAAATGCTCTTGTATCGCCCGTTGCTCAAC